GGCCGAAACATTTCTGTGACATTCTGTATAAAGCAGCACATTAATACCAGGTTTTCTGTAGCGAAAAAAGGGTCGACAAGGGCGTCGAGGTATTTGGTGGGCTGAAGGTCGGACAGGCCACCTGACAGTTTAGCTGCTTCGTGTGAGTTGAAGTTGACAAAATGGCATCGTCTGAAATGACCTTTAATAGATTTGGTAGTATTAAGCACATCTTTGCATCATTTTTTAAACATTGCTGTGAAGTGTTCAAAATGTTTTAATATTCTGAGATTACAAATAAAGACGCACTGTTTGATTGATATTTGTTTTATTGATTGCTATACCAAATGAATGCATGAAATAACCTTAAATAGATTTGGTAATATGAAGTATATCAATTCATGACTTTTTTTTACATTTCTACGAAGTATTCACAATGCTTTAATATTTTGAGAGCATGGATAAAGACATATTGTTAGTTTGATACGTGTTTCTGTGGTTAAATTTGTGTTTCCAGCTGTGTACTGACAGCATTCCTTTACTTAAGCAGTTTTTTTTTTTTTGGACTGTTTTTTTTTTTCGCCCTCTCGCACCGATTTTGGGGTACCCAGAGGATGTCATCCATAAAAATAAAAAAGTGTGGCCTAAGTTGAATATCAAAGCTGTGAAAATGTTTATGTCCAGCACTGGAAATGGTTTTTTAAAATTCAACACCTTTGTTAATTGAGATTGAGTACCAAAGCCAAGACAGCGCATGTTAGCGAACTTGATTTCAACAAGGATCATTTTGTCTTTACAATAAGTCAATCAATGGATCATTCAATCTTATGTTCTGTAAAAGTACTAACCTTTATTGCATCACTAGCTCCTGTTGACAGAAAGACATCATTGTAGTCACATGGGATGCCGTCTCTGTTACTAATGTAAGTTGCTACATCTTTTCTGATAACTTCTACACCAGCACTATCACTATATGAACCTGGCAATAAAAATAAGTGAATAAGATATATGATGAAATACATAACATGAATATCACATTGGCAGAGCTTGATATATTTATTGGCACTGTTAGAATTCAAGTAAACGCAAGTGACTGAATTGCTTATGGATCACTTCCCTGAGGGAAGTTGGATTTTAGAAAGCTGCCCCACAATCCCCCCTTTTTAAATATCTTATTTTTCATTTTCTATCTCTATTTGTGACCTTGAATCTGAACAGGTGCATTTTCACAACTAATGAAACGTTGTGAATGCCTATACAGCTATGCAGTCTGAATCAGGGCCAAAGATATGACAATTATCATCTGGTATAAAAATGCACTGAGACATGTAAGAGTCAGGCCTGTAGCCAGCACTTTCATAAGGGGGGGGGGGGTCTTTTTCTGTAAAAGTTGAACCTTTTACCATTAAAGTTTCATGTACCTAGATAAAATTTTACCCAAGGGAACTTTCTCCTGGCAAAAAGAGGAGTTCTTTCGAACCTCCAAATCGTTCCTGGCTACCGGCCTGAGAGTGCAGATGATAAAAAACAGACTTAACTTTGTAACCACATAATACTATCCAAGCACAAAACTCTTATCATATATACCTATTATGGCAAATGCCCCCATAATGCCTTTAAACTAAGTAGGTCAACAAGAAACCAGACTACAGTTATCAAACTTGCTCTGTGCACTTCAGGCCAATAAAAAAAAAATCTATATCTTCTTATGTAAAACAAATAGGCATATGTGGTACAAATGGCAGTGAGCCAACATATACAATATATCAAATCAACAGGCAACATTAACTGCCAATTGAAAATATCTAACCTCTACTCACTCTGAGATAGGTTTTATGATGGTTTGGGAGATAAACAGTTCATGAGAAAACAAGCATCTTTCAACCCTGAAGCAAAATCCTGGACTGCTCCGACAGCAACAAATTTCAGACAAAATACTATGCAATCTTTAGTCTGGCACAACACCTGAGCTGAGGCAAAAGTTAAAGTACAGTCTAATCCTTACCCCTTTCACCTCTATCTAGCCCCAACTTCAAACTAAATATGATGCATTTATTGTAAGGGATGTAAGGGACTTATCATGCAGCTACATTATGTAGAGGGTTGTACAGAGCTGAATTCGGGTTATAAGAGAAGAGTATCTTTGAAGGAATGACTTGGTGGCCTTAAACACGACTTGGGTGGGTGGTTGGGGCCCACAAAAGTCAGAAAACAGTCAAGAAAAATAGGATTTTCCAATCTGAATTGAAAAAAAAATTGCTTATCAGGGACCAATCCTTAGCAATGTTGTCATGACACATCAAAGTACTCTATCTAGTTTAAGGTATGTCCACTTGGGCACCTTAAATACATACTGTATCATAAAAAAGCCAGAGTTAACATATGATGATCAGACAAATGATTGTGACTTGGAAGAAGAAATAAAATTTTGGCCCATTAAAAGTTCCCTATAAAAAGATGTGTAGGTTAAATAATAGGAACTAATGATTAATTACCACACAGAAGATTAACACTTAGATGCTCTAAGCTCTGTAAATTGAATACATCATATGTAAATCACAGGCAGTGAAGACAAGTATGGGCAGTAATGGGTTAATATCTCACCTAGCATTTAGCAACATTGAATTTATCTCCAAAAGAATTCCTGGTAGATTTCTGTGAAATGTTAATTGAAATGGCAAGCCTACAGAAATATACACTCTGTAACTGTGTGTGCATTTCCCTGAGCAACCTTTCAACAACACATACACATTACAAAACAAAAAAGTTAAGGTCAGCATCTTTCCTCACCCAGATATACCTAGATAAACAAGGTAGCAGTAATATGTAACTGCAATTCAAAGGACTGCCAAGCGCACAGAAACAGACAAACCTATAGGCTTAGCATGGCAACAGCTCTCTTTCATGTAGCATAAAATAAAATATAGTTCAAGTCAACAAGATCAAATCACAGTAAAGTACGACTAACTCAGGTCAATAACGAAAAGAAAAGTAAATAAAACATCTTTGAAATTCATAATCATTCTTCAAAAATAAAAAAAAATGTGTGAAGTTTATTCACCTCTTCTACCTGAAGACAGAGGCCATTTTGCACTAAAAAGTGGACCACCAGGGTCTACTATCTAACAAATTTTTTTCCAAAATTTTTCCACTGGGCGTCAATTTTCTTGCATTTGGCATGGTGCTAGTGTTAGCATCACAGACTGGACAAGTTTTGTTAACAAATGCATCTAAATGAAATATGCCCAGGCATCCATACCTATACTGTGTCCCTTGCAGTCATTGAGAATTCTACGAGCACGCTCCTTGGCATCTGCAGGAAAGAGATCTGTCGTTACCAAAAGAGCTGGGTAGGTACACAAGGCAATTACCTGGAAGTAATTAGAAATGTGTTCTCAATGTACATTAATAAATCAAATTTGACAATATGCCACTATAAGTAGAAGTAGGGTACATACACAAAGCTAAAAATAAAGGAACAAAAGTGAGCTGTATTGTCAAAAATTATTTTTGTTCCACCTTAATTCTAGTTAGATTTTTTTTTATTCATAACGTAAGTTAGCTAAATTTCACAAAATGATATACTGTTAAATATTCCAACATAAGGTTTTTCTTAAAAGTTTTTGCAATATATAAGGAATAAAATGATGTCTGAAAGTGTAAAATGTCATTTTTTGAACCACTGATAATGTCAGTACAATACAGGGCAAATAGTGCATGGCATTATTTTTTTCTTTGATAAAACTAACCTCTATCTTTTCAAATCTTAACAAAACAAACCATATATTTTTTGAAACAGGATGTGTGACCTAGATATATGTTTAAGAAAAACTGGGTGTCTGTCTGGGCCCGAGCTCACCATGTAGGCTCATGAAAAAAATTTCCATCACAGCAAAGTAGTTAATGGATTTTAGTTGGATGATTTCAGTAATCAAATCAAACTAAATCAAATCAATGGGCAAGACTAAACATTTCTCATTATTATTCAATGTATTACTGCACTAGCCATGGGCATACAAATAAGATTAAAATGCCAAGCAGTGTATGCCAATTACAGCAGCTTGAAAAAATAATTGTTAAACTTGTCTGAGATGTGGAAAAACATTACAGGCCTCTTTCTAAGACCTGCATAGAAAGGATGTCTTCCACCACTAGCGTGACATTACCATGCAGGCTTTGACAATAACAGTCTGTAATCTGGAGCATGATAGAGTCAAAATGTCCTCACCTGTCTCAGGAAGGTCAGGGGTTTCTGTCCAGTGGCATGACAGTCACCAATGTTTGCACGCATCACCTCTTCAAATGGAAAACCCTTGCCCTAGAAAAATCATTTAGAAGTATTTAAAGGAAACTTATTTTTTAAAATATCAGGGAAAGTACAAGATATGAAGCTTGGTGAGTTAGCAAGGGAAAATATACAACTTTGACAAAAAAATAAACAAAACAAAACAAAAACAAAAACATGCACATGAGCACACACATGCACATACGTAACACATCCCAACAACGTGACTAAACATAAAGATTTACTATCCAGTATCACCAAGAACCCACTTGTTTGATCATTTATTCTTGATCACAAACCGCAATGTAAGAACATTATTCTTTCCACACAGGCAAGCAGACCCAATTTATTTTCTGTTTTTGGCATGCAAAGTCACATATCTTATCTAAGATATAGTACTTCAATGGTGTAACTGTTGTGACAAAAAAAAAAGGGGGGTGTCAAAGTAGATAAATAAGCTCCTTGCTTGCCTACTGTATAAAGGGACAGCATACTAGTATATCTGGTTTTCAACGGGTATACTGGTACTGTATTGTATATAT